TGTTCCCTCTCTCGCTGTGTCTCTCTCTGTCAAATAAATAAATAAAATCTTAAAAAAAAAAAAAAAAAAAAGAAGAGACTTGTTCCATGCTTGAATGGCTTATCAAGGAGCTAGCCAAACTCCTCTGAGAGGGTTTGAGGAGGTGGCCTAGAGGAATCATTCCTGGGCCAGCTGGGGACTAGAAAATCAGACTTCTTCCAGTCAGAAATGCAAATTGCCCACTGAAGACTCTGAATCACTTGTTCTGCTTATGAGGGCATCCACAGGTCTGACCTATAGAAGGCTGGGAAGAGGAGCTTTGCTGGAAAGGGTTCTCTTGGCCTTTGATAGGAAGTCTTGGAAGGAAAAAGACTTTGAGGACCTCCACCTCAGGAAAGAAATACAGAAAACAGCAATCTGTCTGGGATTCCTTCTATCATATTGAATGACAGTGCCCGCCATTCATCAGAGTTGTAACGGTTTCAGTTACAGGACTCATCCTCCCAGCTAGTCTGGTGGGGACCATGTCTGTTTGGTTAACCACTGTATCCTGGTTCCTCAGTATCGAGTGCATGATTGAGTGCATGAGTCAGAAACTATGAACACGTGACTGTGATTCCACCAACTTTTAAACGATCTCCCTAAGTTTGTTCAACGACGGAGATGTATGCCTTCCCTGGTGGCATAAACATGATCCTTCCCTCATGGAGCTTGCTTACAGGAAGGCAGAGTCATCAGCCAAGTGAACAGCAAGGATGATACTTGCAATGAAAGAGAAAGTCAAGAGTGCTGTGGGATTTACCGCATGGGAACTGAATCTGGGCTTGGGGGGCTGGGAGGGAGAAGTTCTGTAGGGAAGTGATTATCCCCAGAAGCATGTGCGTGTGTGTTGCGGGGGTAGGGGTCACCCTGAGCAAAGGGCCTGCAGCGATTGCAGAGAAGTCCTGTGTGACCAGAAAGTAATAAGGAGAGAAGAAAGCATGCTCACAGTTGCCCAGGGCACAGATGGTAGATGCGTTATCAGCCGCGGAGATAATTTTGGACTTTTCCTATGAACTTCCTATATAGTTCTTAGGATATATTTTGACTTTTTATTTCTTTAATTTTTAAAAAAAGATTTTATTTGAGAGAGAGAGAGCAAGCACAAGCAGGGTGAGGGGCAGAGGGAGAAGGAGAGGGAGAGGGAGAAGCAGACTCCCTGCCGAGCAGGGAGCCTGACTTGGGGCTCGATCTCAGAACCCTGAGATCATGACATGAGCTGAAGGCAGACGCTTAACCGACTGAGCCACCCAGGTGCCCCTTGACTTTTTATTTTAAGGTATTTTTGGACTTACAGAGGAGTTGCAAAAATGGTACAGAGATATTCTGTATTCCCTTTATCCAGCTTTCCCTCCTGTTAACATCTTATAATCATCAGAGTATAATTACTACAACCGAGAACTTTGCATTGGTACAATCCTATTCACTCAGCCACAGACTTATTCAGATTTCACGCATGACCTTGATCTGCTCCCGGGTCCAATCCAGAATTGCACATGGCACGTAGTTGTCAGGTCTCCTTTGTTCCCTCCAGTCTCACACATGTTGAACCATTTGAAAAGTAAGCAGACAACATGACAGTTTACCCTTTAATACTTCAGCGTGTTCTAAAATTAAGGATGATGAACAGTTAGCACACCAAAGGAAATTAATAACAATTCTCTAAATATTCTCTCATACTAGTCCATATTCGTTTGTTTTTCTCATGATGTCGTTTATAGCTAATTTTTCCACCCAGGTTCTAACCAAGTTTCATACACTGCATTTAGTTATTATTTCTCTTTAGCCATCTTTATTCTATACCTGCACAATCCAACATGGTAGCCACTAGCTCATGTGGCTATTTAAGATTTAATTTAAATTAATTAAAGTTAAAAATCCAGTTCCTCAGGCACACTAGCGACATTTCAAGTGCTCAGTAGCCACATGGGGCTCGTAGCTACCACATTGGATGGTACGGGCTTAGAACATTTCCATCCTCCCAGAAAGTTCTGTTGGACAGCACTGTTCTAGAATTTCTCCTTCCTATTTTTTTTTTTCTGTGACATTGACTTCTCCTCCAGTGAGAAACAGCTGTGGTTTTAGAGCAGGGCTTCTCAATTTCAGTACTACTTGACTTTGTTGTACGGCTGTCCTGTACATTCTAGGACATTCAGTAGCATCCAGATGCCCCTGGTGGCTCCCCAATTACGACAACTGAAAATATCTCCAGATATTTCCAAATATTCTTAGGGAGAAAAAAAAATCACCCCTGGTCTAGAACAGCTGGTTTAGGATGCATCGTTTGGCTCTGTTTTAATTAAAGGACTCAAGAAACCGAAAGAGAGAGACATAATTTATTCTGTATTAATAGTGTAGTATTTAGTAGATAGTCAATGAAATTTGATGAATGAGTGACTGGATATTGAAATGTTAAGATTGTAGATTTTAGGGAAAGATGAATTACATCAGGAAAATTTATTGGCCCCGTCTGTCCCCCTTTCTCTTCCCATCTTGCTAAGTTTGATCAGAAATGTAGAGTGCAAGGGCCAGAGCATACCTTCCTTTCTGCCCATTTTATAGAAAATGTATCAAGGCCCTGTCACAAGCAAAAAAATACTCATTATCTGCCAAATCAGAAATCTTAATCCAGGGTGGGAAATAGACACATACAACTGACTTCTCAAGATCTGAAATTTAAGAACTCAGACATTAAGCACTTAACAAGTTCTTAACAATAATTCGTCAACCCTAGTTGTGTGTACTTATAGTTGAACCTGGTTATTTATGATTCCATATTTGCAGATTCATCTATTCGATAAAATTTATTGGTGACCACAAAATCATTACTCATGGTGTTTTCATAGTCATGCCCAAATATGCACAAAGCACCAAAAATTTGAGTTGCCTGAAATTTGAGTTGCCTGATGCACACGTTTCCAGCAGAAGGCAATGCTCTGCCTTGTTTTATTTCTCACACTTTAAATAAGGCCTTCTCATGGTTTATTGAATGCCTTTTTTTTTTTACAGTTTTGCATTTTTTGTTGGCGATTTAGCTGTTTAAAATATCCCCCACATGTAGTACTGAAGTGCTCCTAAGCACGAGAAGGTTATGATTTGCTTTATGGAAAATATACATGCATTAGATAAGTTTCATTCAGTCATGAGTTATAGATAGTTCTGTCGGCCCTGAATTCAATGATATAACTAAATATAACAAAATAATATATTGTTGGTAATGTATATATAAGATTATTATTGTTGGTATATTATTGGTAATATATATAAGGTTGTTAAAAATAAATTATAACAAAATATATTAAATACAGTGTCTTTAAGCAGAAAACACACATGAAACAAGGTTATATACTGACCAGTTGGTGAAAATGTTGTTACCACAGGCTCACAGAAGCCTAAACCTGTATTTCCCTCAGGAGCATACTTCAGTCTTCACGAATTTGGTGTTCATGACAACTTTATAGAACATAAACTATTGTAAATAATAAGAATCAATGGGTGCTACCGGGGTCTGAGGGATAATTTGGGCAAGCGCAAAGGCATTAGCTCCTCGCCCTTGCCCTCCGTCGAATGCGGCAGAGGATGAGGGGGCTATGATGGCCACAAGCTGGAGCTTCAGGCCAGACGTGGGTGGGAATCCCACTGGCCTGCTCCCTGTGTGTCTCTGGCATAAGCCGATTATTATTCCCTGTCTCTGCTCTCATCAGTGAAATAAGGGAAGTAATAGCCCCAGAGAATGACACAGCGTAGGTGAGACTTTTAACCAGAGCATGACACAAAGTAAGTGCTCAGTAAAGGATTGCTCTTGCAGTCACTCAGGCCCTGTTGATTAATTGATTGATTGATTGATTGGTTTTATTTTATTTTATTTTTTTGGTAAACATATGTGCAGAAGCATATAGGACTAGCAATGTACTTAACTCATTGAAAGCTCACGTTATTCAAGTAACATCTCCTTTCATTAAGATATAAGTGGCCTTGTTTATTCTGGAAGCTGGTATGAGGAAACTAGATTTGGAATCTGCAGTGTCCAGGTACTTTGGTAGCTGCTTTCCCACCCAGCAATTCATTTCATCTTTGCAGCATGTATCGTCTAATATTTGTATTATACCTTATGGTATTTTCATTACAAAGAAACCCGTGAGTCAAAGGGTGAATGATAAATATCATCCTCGCTCGTCTTAGACTCAGATGTTGAGGGAGGGACACAGGGGAGACTTAACTGAATTGCTGTCTTTTTCTTAAACTTGGTGGTGGGTACCCAGGGATTTGTTGCCTTTGTCCCTATACCTTTTGCTTGTCAATATATTTTGTTAGATATATTTCTGAAAGCAATGCATGCTCATTTTAGCAAATTAAAAAATGCAAAAGAACGAAAATCCTTTCTCCCGCGCTTTAGAAGTATTCACTACTGGCTTTTTAGTGAGGATCTCTTGGACTGTGTATGTGTATTTTTTTTTTATTCTTATGTTAATCCCCATACATTACATCATTAGTTCTAGATGAAGTGTTCCATGATTCATTGTTTGTGCATAACACCCAGTGCTCCAT